TTGTTAATGTTAACTTATAGTTGCATGTAAAAGAAAGATTTAGGCCTACCACAGTATGACTCTTTAAATAACTATAAGCAAGCTTTTGCTTTCAAATGCGAAATGACCAACAATTATATGTACTGTTTTGCTTTCAGAATGTTGAGCTGTTACTACAACCTTTAAAGTTGCACCCAGCACAGACGAAGACGATGTTAGACAAATTTGCAGCAGTCGGAATACTTCAGGTAATAAAAGAACTTACCCCGTCTGTACAGTTGAGTTAAAACCATAGTTTACTTCGCTGAATAAGTATGTATTCTTTTCAATGCTTAGACAAGTTCATAATTTACTTCGCTGAAGAAGTACAATTTCTTTTCAACACTGAGACAAGTTCCTTAATCGACATTCAGTTAAAAAGAGAAAAAAGGTGATTTATGGGAATAATTTGTGGCTGAAATATTCGGAAAAACTTTTGCAATTCATAGCTGTAATAGTCTCAGCTTATTTTCAACTAAGATAAGTAGATATTTTTTTTTTCATATTTATTTAAGTAACTGGAGTAACTGAGGCAAATCTTTGCCCCTAATTTTTTAGCTCCTTTTGTTTTTTGTGTTTTTTCTTTGGGGCAGTCAAATTGTTAGGCTAGCATTTACATCTAATAAAGAGTTCATTAGTTCAAACTAGAGTTTCAATAAATTTTTCACGATTCGATAAAGTCTTAGTGTCCCATTTCAGTTAGATTCATTTCAGGATTAGCCTTGCCTCTTCTCTTGGAAAAAAAGAGGAGCACAATTTGGTGTTACTGTGAAGGCTTTGCATGTTGTAATACAATAATTATGATGGTTTGTGGCAGGGGTACTTGGACTTTGTTAACAGGAAACACGCCTCGACGCCTGACAAAGACTCTTCTGAGGATGGTCCCTAATAAAACCTACATCTGATTACATTAATTCCTTCAAAAGATGGACATGTAACATTGTAGTTATACTAACATTGAAATAATGGGTTGTAGATTAGTGTATTTTGTTAAACATTTTTGTATTTACCCTATGTGTAAATTGTAACACTGTATTCAGCAAGACTCTAATGGTATGGACCACGGGGTGGGGTTCTTTGTTGGGAGTCTTTTGACATCTTAACCACATTTGAGGTTCTTAGTGATTAAGTAATAACTCGTGTAAAACTTTAATAAGATTGGACAATTATAATTACTACTTATTGTGCATCACACAACTGACACTTATCTCTTTTTTGTGGAGTTGTTAAAGTGGTATATTAAGTGGTAGGTGTTAATCCTTTGTATACATACAGCACAAAAGCAATCAATCAGTACAATAAAGCTATTAATTACTTGTATTGCTTCCCATTTTCTGAATACATTTTTTCCAAATAGCTCCTTTGGTTATCTCTCTCCAGTTCTCATATCATCCCTATGGATTTTCTGCAAGGCAAGCTCTCGAATGCATCGGGCAATATTTGAACGAAAAAACACATTATTTCTTGATCGGTGGTGTGGCATAGGTGTCTCAATTCCAATTCTTAATAAGATAACCCAACTTTAAAATAATGTGTTTTTCAGCTTCTGAAGCTGGCATGATTCATGTCACAAGTTTTGTATTGCCTGATGTATTCAGAGCTTGACTATCATAATATAAACTTCTGTGCGATCTCTTCAGAAAACCAACTTTTGAAGATGATGCAAAAGGGTGCACCTTTTTTGTGCTAGAGCTATAGTAAGTTTTAATAGGAGTAACTTCCAATTCCAAACTAAAAGCTTTAGTTAACTTCAGAGTTGGAAGTTACTCCTTTTAAAACGAAAGATTTTTCTAAGATTGTTATAAGTTATCTTCATTCAAAGCTACTTCTTTTAAACTGAAGATTATTTGGTAGGCTTTCCATAAAAAACCAAATTTTCAATACTCACTCTGCTGTCTATCAGCACTGAGGGAGATGCAACCACAGAAACAAGGTTGTTTAGTTTGTTCTATTAGTATAACTAGTATTAAGGTACGTGCGTTGCACGTGTGTATAATGTCAGTAAACTAAAATTTGTATACAAGAAAAAATTAATTATGCAAAATAGAAAATAACAGTGATTTAAGTGACAAAAATAAACGTCATTACATAGACGTCGCAATTGGATATTTTCAGAGCTTCCAAAGATAAACAGATCAGTTAAGTTAGTTATATATTATTTAAATTATAGGTATTTTATTTTATGAGATAATAATATGTTAGTATATTATTGAATCTAACCCAAT